TGCAAATATTATAATATTTCAATTTTCTTAAATATTGTTAACTTTCTCTAGTAATTATGTAAGTTATGTATACGAAAATGTAGACCAAGAATTTTGAACAAAGGCACGTATCAAAGCAATTCTTATTTACATATTATTCGAATATTTTGTTTATATTTACTGAAGTTTCTGTATTACTGAGATTTATGTAGGATTTCCAAAAACCATATATTTAAACTGTTACTTCTATAATATTATAATTACATTAAAATGACATTTTAACAACTTTCTATGCATCCAATGTATTCATTTATTATTACCAATATTCTTTAAATAAAAACAATATCAAGTATAATGTCTTCAGATGAACATAAAACATATTTTACGATAGACATGTTTTGTTTTGCTTTTTATTCCTGAATGTATGTACATGAGTGTATCCACATCATATGTGATACAATTATAGAAGTGTGATAGTGCTTTGGATACTATGCTTATTGTGATACTTAATACGTAAAGTAGATATTCAATTATATTTAGCACGAAATTACACAGCTGATTTTCAATCAAAACGAGGCGATTTGTCACATTTATTTATCGGTTATATATTAGTTATTTCTGTAAAAAAAAGTATCTGGAGCATTTTATAAGTATGTAGAACAAATTGCAAGCATCATTTTAATAATATACCTTTTTATTTAGCGGTTTGTAGGAATTATAGACACGGTTTCTTCGTTTTTGACATCATCAATCCAATAGAGCCACAATGACTGAAGAATCTTAAAGAAAAATTTTTCAAAGAAGATATTGAAAACGTTTTACTGTTAAAATAAAAAATTGTACAATTATTTAAAAAATTAAAAATTATTTAAATATTTTGCAATTATTTCAAAACTGGCAATAAAACACTAGAATCCGTTAGTCCACTTTTGACTTAAATGGTTTTTGTGCCGACGTGCTAGTTAAAATCAACAGACAGTGTCTAATCCGTGATAAAATTATGCTCCGCGATCATGTCCACTTATTAGTAAAATCTGCTTGAAATTCCATAATTACTATGGTTGTTTAAATGACGGACCAGCTACATACATATAATAAAATGTATTATGATAAATTTCTACATAAATCACTGAATTCCTGCCTATGCATTTACCACATATCTCTATATCCTCATAATGATCCTATTTAAAATTTGGTCCTACTAGTACAAATGTTAGATTCTTTATGTGACATAAGAGATGTAAAAGGATTTCCCAAGCTTTTAAATATTCCGTTTCTAAGGCATTTAGTGCTACCATGTGAATAATACAATTAAATATAAACATTTAAATTGAGTAAAATATTTGATAACATTTGAATTGAGTATAGAGATATAACTGCTTAACAAATGTTTCTGTTTATTTTTCAGATCTGTAACAAACGATCGCAATATTAAAGTGGTACAAATCTTCTTATCTGTCATGATTATTACACAAACGATATTGTATTTGAAGATGTAATACTCCACGAATATATATAACAGTTACACTAAATAGAATGTCGCAAATAAGCTCGTATATTTATAAGTTTTTATCACATGTAAATAGCAAAACGTGAAAAACGCACAACGAAGAGAAGAAACTTGCAAGGTTTGAAACTATTGTTAATAATATTGAGAAAGTGAGAGTTTAAATTATTTTTGTTTTATGTCTTACTGATAAATATTCGTACAAATTGTACTCAATTATATACGCATTCTAAATGAAGCGCTATACTATATGAAAGAATATGTATAAGGTATAATAAAAAGAAATCCATTATTTTTGCATGAAATTGAAGGCTTTATTTAGCATAGTTAAAATAATCCGATTTAGGTCAAATATGCACCGTTTTGTTGGATGACTTGTTGCCATTTTGAAGATAATTCCATTATGCCTCTCTCATAGAAACTCTTGTCCCTATTGGCAAAAAATTGGGACAGTCGATTTTCACAAGCTTCTCTTGAGGCAAATTTTTCACCAGCAAAATCATTCGCCATAGACAGGAACAGATGGTAATCACTTGGTGCCAGGTCCGGACTATAAGGTGGATGCATAAGAACCTCCCAACCAAGCTCCCGGAGCTTCTGGCGAGTCACTATCGATGTGTGTGGCCTGGCGTTGTCCTGATGGCACACAATTCCTATCCTATTGGCCAAAGCTGACCGCTTCTGGGCGATTGATTCCTTCAGACGGTCCAATTGTTGACAGCACAGGTCCGAATTAAGAGTTTGGCCGTAGGGGAGCAACTCATAGTGGATGATTCCCTGCCAATCCCACCAAACACACAGCAAAGCCTTCCTGACCGTCAATCCTGGCTTGGCCACCGTTTGCGCCGGCTCACCGCGTTTCGACCACGACCGTTTTCGCTTGACGTTGTCGTAAGTGACCCACTTTTCATCACCAGTCACCATCCGCTGCAGAAATGGGTCGATTTTGTTGCGATTCAGCAGCGATTCGCAGATGGAAATTCGGTCCATGAGGTTTTTTTGCGTTAACTCGTGTGGCACCCATACATCGAGCTTCTTTTTGTATCCAGCCTTATTCAAGTGGTTCCAAACGGTTTTTTGTGCAATGTTTAGCTCCTGGGCAATCGAAACAGTGCTTACATGACGGTCGGACTCGACGATTTCCATTATTTTATCGACATTTTCGACAATTGGCCTTCCAGAGCGTGGTGCATCTTTGACATCAAAATTACCGGAACGGAATCGACGAAACCAAAATTGCGCGTGATTGGCTGTTACAGTATCAGGACCATAAACACTATTCACATTTTCAGCCGCCTGGCTTGCGTTTTCGCCTTTATTGAAGAAAAACTGTAAAATATGGCGTATTTTCTTTTTGCTGGTGTCCATCCTTGACGCGCACTCAAACAATACTGAGTCAAACAATCACAAAACTGTCTGAGAAGTTTTTTTTAGTACGAAATCTTATCTTTCTAACGCCATCTAGCGTAAACCGATCGCACTTATACAACGCGAGATATACATTACTAAAGCCATCTATTGGAAAAATAATGGATTTCTTTTTACTACACCTTATATTATGTTATACCTGTAGCATGCTATCCTACATGCGTTGTTTTCCTCCAACTTGCTGGCATGTCCCACGCATCTCAACCTACTGATTTTAATACATGTGACTATATCTAAGTTTCCGTAGAAGTTGTAGCTTTGCGTTCTTCTTTCTTACGTACTCATTTTCCCCTAGTTTTCTTGCGCCTAGAATTCTTCTTAGAATCTTTCTTTCGAAGCGTTCCAGGCATTTAGCATCTTCTGTTTTTAGGATCCATGTTTCTGAACCGTATGTAATGTTTGATCAGTGTTTTGTAAATTCTTATTTTAGTGGCTCTCGACAAATCCTTGGATCTTAATAGCCTTGCTACTCCAAAATAGGCTTTGTTAGCAATCCCAAATCTTCCTTTGATTTTCGACGTTTCATAGTTGTCCGAGGTTAGGACTGACCCGAGGTACGTGAACTAGTTCACCACCTCAAATTTATAATAACCAATCTTTAACCAAGGTCCTATCCTTCTTTGGGCTGTCTGATTCCTAGCAACTGTCATGAATTTCGTCTTCTCCTTATTAATGACTAGGCCTACTCTTTTTGCCTCTCTCTCAATTGCCTCAAAGCTTTCCCTCACTGCCCTAACGCTGCGTCCCGCAATGTCAAGGTCGTCCGCGTAACCGAGGATCTGTGAGCTCTGGTTTATGAACGCGGCTGATCCCTTGATGTTTGCTCTCCTTATTACTGCTTCCAGTACGAGGTTGAACAGTACTGGTGCTAGCCCATTCGCCATGTTTCATCCTTTTTTCTATCCGTATTTTTCTCAGATTAACTTTGACTTTTCCTTTTGTAGTCTCCGTAATCGCTATGCACAACCTTACTATTTCATTTGATATTTTTAATTCAATTAAAGCTTTCCTTATTGCATTTTCGACTAAACTGTCAAAGGCCGTCTTGAAGTCGATAAATAGGTAGATCGTGATATTGTGCTCCCAGAATTTTTCGAGGAGATGTCTCATGGTCAAAAGTTGGTACACCGTTGACCTATTCTCTTTAAAGCCGCATTGGTATTCACCTCAACAATGTTTCCTCATAGATCTTTCTTAGTTTTTCTCGAATTATGTGTATAGTCACTTTATAGGCGGAATTTAAAAGTTATTGCTCTGTAATTCTTACAGATTGTAATGTCCCTCGTCTTTGGTATAGGGTTGATGATTCTTATGTCCAGTATTCTGGCAACTCTCCTTTGCCCTTCCAGATGCTGGTGATAATCTTATAGAGTATCATTGCTGTTGTCATGCCCGAATGTTTTATCATTTCCCCGATTTTTTCGTATTTTCCGTATTTTTTCTTAAGAAAAAACTACTGATGACAATATAGGAAAACTATTGAAGCACTATTGAAAAATATTGGAAGACTATTGTATACATATTACAACACTATTGGAAAACTGTAGAAACCTATTCGTTAATATTATAAATAGATTTAATATAAGTTTTCAATAGTTAAAACAGTAGTACTTTCGCTAATCTACAAAAATACTACAGTTCTCAGTAGTTTTCTTATCATATTTTTGTGTAAGTGTACATGAGTGCATGCACATTACATGTAATACAGTTGTAGAAGAATGAAAATGCTACGGCTACTACGCTTATTGTGATATTTAATACGTTATTGTGTCATATTTGGTACGAAATTACACTACTGACTTTCTATCAAACCGAGACGATTTGTTACATTTATTTAGCGGTTATATATTAGTTAATTCGGTAAAAAATTGTATCCGAAGCATTTTATAAGTATGTAGAACAAATTGCAAGCATCATTTTAATGATATATCTTTTCATTTAGAGATTTGTAGGAATTG